ACCAAAACACTTGATATAACCTAGTTCAGTAAATTGTATTGGTATTGGCCTCAAGTGTGGGTATAATGTGTTATACATTTATAAATATTTCATTTTATCAATAGGTTGATTTCATGGTTGGCATAAAGCAGTACAGTTTTGACCATTAATTATGGCGCAAATAGTCCGGTTTTCATGACAACCTATAGATTTTGCACTCCATATTTCAGGGCAAGTTTCTCCAAACATATGAGTACCATGGCAACTGGTATGGACTGACACTGGAGTCCATAGAGAATGTTGCCAGAGAGGGTCTAGCTTGTATAGTACATCTCGAATTAGAGGTATAGATTTAACATCATTTTATACTACACATGTTATTTTGTATTAATCATTCCAGGCTAGCAACAATTTTAACTTACTAGTAAATTGTAATTTCTACATTTTCAACCTCTTTGAATATACTGTGGTGTTATTGACGCAATATTTATATACTCAAACTGCATGCATAAATTCTACCTAATTTTTCATATCTTCATGAGACATCTGCATTATATAATTAAATCAGAAAATTTAGTGTTATAAATCTTTATGGTCTTCAATCCCTAGTTTTTATAATCCATTTGTTTACTTCCAGGGGGTGCTGACCCTTAAGAACACCTACTTTGAGCCAAGATATGTGCTGATAATGCCCCTGGACCCTGTAGCTCATGAGAAGCGACTGCGAGACCGAGGTATCTATTCAGAAGTTCAGATAGAAGATATGTTAAAAAGAGCTGAGATGTACATAGAACACAACCAGACACACCCTGGATTCTTTGACATGATGATCCCGTCAGATGACATAGCAGAAGCTTATAAACGAGTACGTCGATTGGTGATGGATTATTTAGGTATCTGTATCCCCACACCTGATACATCCCGCACAGAGAACTATGAGGCAATATCTAGCAGGGACTCTAGGTTCTCTGACAATAATGGCACGTTCACTATGGGTTCCGCCAACATGGGGGCAAGGACCTGGTCCAAGCCCAGTATACCGGACAGTGTAGCCCAACAGTTTGCTCCAGGGAAGCCTGTGATGGTTCCAGGATCTCCTATTGTCTCTGGGCGTGGCATAGTGGTAAGTCTTAGTGTTTAGAGTCAGTTTTCACTGAATATTTCCACTTATTTGTTTTAACTTATTTATTTGCTTTTATAAGTCAATAAATTCATTGAGGTGACAATCAAGGCTGTCAGATTGAGGTTGAGATGTCACTGGACAAAATAAAGTCTACCTGTAATAGTATTGTAAAATATGCATTAAATCCATAAATAACATGTTTTTCAAATATATGTCTTTCAGGAGGAGGCCTCACTAAAGAGACGTCAGAGTGCAGCCAAGAATGCAGTGCATGGTAGAGTGCCCAGTGTGTTGGATCAGATTCTCAAGTATGTTAGATCATTGCATTGCAAAGTGATGGCCTTTTATTTTGATTCAATTTTCAAGTTATGTTATATTCTGACAATAGAGGAGTTGCTATGATAGATGAATAGATGGCAGTTGTGATTTTGGTCGGGCCAGAATTACTATTTATAATATGGAGACAACTGGCTAAAGTCACTTTATTTCTTAATTTAAAAAATATTGCCAATTGGATAAATGTAAAACTAAATTGACTACAGTTATATGGTCTTTTTGATCTTTGGATTGTGATTAAGCATCAAAAGAGAAAATGAACTTTTAAAAGTTTTTTTTAACAATGTGTCAATGGAGATTTAGCCCGACCCTTTTCAGGAAACTAAAAATCCAGAAAAATTGAATACAAGAAAGTAACTGTGCATGGAAAATTACATACAGAATTTTTATACTATAATACATAAGAAGATAATGTTAGTATTTGACAGTTTAAAATGCACATCTCCTCACTTGAATATATATTTTAAGATTTCCTTATCTCATTGTTTCAGGCCTCCAGGCACAGCAGGTACAGGTACTGCCCAAGGTTTAGGGGATGACACCTCATTGAACAGATCAACATCCGCCCCTGGGGGGTCCCTGAAGCTGAACCAGGACAACATGGACACCCTTCCCCCAGCATCTCCCGACTCCAGCCAGGCAAGCTCTAGGACGAGCTCCAGTTTATCAAACATTTCAGACCAGGGCTACAATGGCCCTGGATCAGAGCATGGTGGATCTCAGGAAAATTATACTGAACTACCCACAGACTCTATGAACCCAATGGAGTTATATAGTGGCTCAGGGTCAAGGCCGGGGTCAGGGTCATTCAGGAAAGGTCAGCCAGGTACAGTTGATGAGATACCACGAATGAATAGACCTGGTTCAGAAAAACATAAAGTGCTGCCCCCTATCTCTCCTTCACCAAAACCCCAGGATCCAGAATATTAGATTAAAAATTTATTTGAATCAGTGAATTCAAGGATACCACACATTGAAGGTGGACCAATATACAGTGTAGGATGTTGTAATACTAATATGTTCTGATGATGTACAGTACATGTATGTACAGAACATGTACTGTAATAAACTGAGAAGACTCCAACCCTGAAATTCTGTGATATTTCCGTCCATAAGAACTTCTCGTAAGTGACATAAATAATATATTAAATTCTGTACAAATGTATATTTTAATTCAGTGTAATATATTTTAAAAACTGTACATATGAATGTAGTCAAATAAAACAACAAACAAAAAAATTAAACATAATGTCAAGTTATATTATTCTGAGTTGTAGTTTTTTACCTCACAAGTGAGCCATTGAAGATTTATTCGATGAAAGTTTCATGATAGTTTTTTTAAATATTTGGTATACACTGAGTACTAGATAGAATGTTTGCCCAATGGTTAAAATTCTGTGGATCACATTCCCAAAGTACATGTATCTGTCCATGTATGATGTACATAATCCACGTGACACTGTATGCTAATAAATATTAGGGTGCTTCTTAATCTCCATTTATCATTTCTTGCCCTTCATAGCCCTCTTTCCTTCTCCTTTCTTTGGAGGAACTTTGCCCCTGAGAGCTCTCAGTCTTTTCATCTCCTCCTTGAAGTCCTGGTGCTCATCCCTGAAAGGAGGATAAATATGAATTTGAATAGAGATTAATACTACCCGACAGTGAGGATCGTATATGAAAATAACTGCAAGCAGGATGATGATGAGTCTTTATGTTCAAAGGTAGGATGAAGGGGCAATGAGATATGCTAGAGGATGACTATATGGCTATAAGGCAACATTTCATTTTTTGCTAATTCTATATCATTGTCATCCATGGTTCTTCTGTAAAAATATCATTTTTGGGTAATATGAACTGATGAATACAGCTTTGCGCTACTAAAAATGTTTCTCTCTAGCAGTGATTTTAGTGTGAAGTGAATAAAGTTAAAGTATTGTTATGAAGTTTTCAATCCAGGAGACAGATAAGTGGCTTGCAAACTTTGGAAACTTGAAAAATAAAAGACCAAATTAGAGCACGCTCCTAATGAGTAAAAACATGGTAAATTGAGAGACTACATTCATCTTGCTGCTTTAAACATATAGCAATGTTGAGCACATTTCAATAATGCAGTTTGAATGAACAAAACCATAAAAATAAAAAGAAGGCGTGAACATGCAAAATGTCACTACCTGCTATTTGTTACAGATGACTAACTCAGAATGCTGGCCGCTGAACACCGTTCACAAAAGATGTGAAGACTATAACAATATGTCACTACTTATGGTGGTGGTGACATAAAAACAAATGTCAGTGCATGATCAGACAATGTCAGACAATATTCTTCTCACCTGTAAAGTCCTAGCCATCTAACCTTGCTAGTTAATTGTCCTAGATTCCAATGTTCTGGGTATCGGTTTCCTACTTTCTGTACCTGGTCCAATGGTTCAGCTGCCAGCAATTTAACAACCTAGGGGTATATAAAGTCAGCAAATAGGCAAAAGGAAAGTATCTTAAAGGGAAGTCGTAAATATTAATTCCGATCCTAAATTACCATTTAACCCAAAAATGTATTTAAATGGTGATTGGAACTCTAAGATAAACCTTATTTTCTCAGTGCTTGAAAAAGGTGATCATGCAATAAGTGAATGAAATGTCCTTTAAAAATTGAAAGGGTGAGTTTATTTGAGGTGGAAGAATATAAGGCATATATTTTTTCAAGTTTCACATTTTAATAATATTTTTAAATACCTTGTGTGACTTAGGATTCACTGGTCTTGCCACTTCTCCAAATATCCTAGCAGACAACCTTGCCATCTTGGTGCCATAATTACTCGCCATCTCACTCCTAATCTCTGGCCTCTAGGGCCTAATACTGGGTTCTTTTGAGGACCTTTAATAACAGAACATGACAATACACTAGGCATACATAGCATTAAGTGTGAGCCTCAGTGATCAACTCTGAGGCCAAAGCAACATGATGTGTTATCCCTTTGTCTGTACAATACATGTATCAGAGTGGCTAATGTAGAATGAAACATATGACGCTCCAATTCAAATGAAATAAAAAATATGTACGCTGATAATATTGTTGTACCATAAAAGTCTAAAGTTGGTTTGCAGAATTCATAAAATGTAGTAAATACCAATTTCAATAAATGGAGACTAAAATGAGAGCACAGCCTTACAAGGTAAGGGTTACATTTGGTAGATGGCTTGGATGAAGAAAAGGGTTAAACATGTACAATGAAGTGAAATAATCTTAACTGTATTAGTTTTCCCTCAGATCTCCTCTCGCATTGATAGCCCATTATACGTACATGCCAAGAAAAACATACATGTACCTTTGTTCGTCTCAGACCCAGGGATATAAAAAATATATTGCTTTGAATAGAGTGTGATGTTATCATCCAGCCTATTGGTACAGCAGCACACCGTTTATATTAGCTAGTTTATAGAGGATATCCTATGATTTATGAGTGATATGATTTTTATCCACGAATGGATATGATATCTGCACGAGCGAGCGTAGCGAGAGAGTGCAGATATCAATATCCATGAGTGGATTAAAATCATAACACGAGTAAATCATAGGATGTTCTTTTTATTCCATAATTAAAGTCATCGTCAGAATCGTCGGACATTAAGTGATTTAATTCGAATTTTCCAAACGATCCCGCGATGTTGACACTTAGCCTCGTTTTGAGTCTGAAGTAGCAAAAATCCATAAACCATCGCATACGACGTCGTATGTCATGGCTAAAAAACCGTATGCTATGGTTAAGTGAAAATTTGTCAAAAATATCATATTTTACCACTGATTACAAAAATACCGTTTTTATTTTCACATGTTATCCTATGAATATCATGCTAACTATGGAATAAATATAAATATGAAATATATTTACTGGCATTTCAGTAAAAATGATGACCTTATTCAATGGAAATACAGTAGCTATCACAGGAACTTGTATCACACTTGACATATATTTGCAAACTTAGGAGAACAACTAGAGGCCAACCTGGAAAACAGTTTGAGTATCTCATCTCTGTATTCTGTTCTTCCAGGTTTGCCAATAGATGTCAGGTGTTTTTAGGTTCCTGTTTGTGTGTTTCACAAGTTACAGTTGCTAACTATGTTTGAGCCAAATAAATAGTACCGTGCGACCATTTTGAAAATAAGCGAGTTTTTGAACCAGGAGTCATAGGGGAGTTTCCAGTATTGATGTTGAACAAAAATAATTTAAGACAGGAATCTTATCGACAGAGGGTTTAAAGCAAAAGGTCCAAAAGTGAATTTCACGAGTCAAAATGGCGACCATTTTGAAAATAGGCGAGCTTTTGAACCAGGAGTCAGAGGGGGTTTTCTATATTGATGTTGAACAAAAATAACTTAAAACGGGAATCAGAGTCAGACAGACAGAGGTTTTAAGGCAAATGGTCCAAAAGTGGATTTCGCGAGACAGATGGACAAATCAATGTTAACTAAAATGGCTGAAAATAAAAAAACTGATATAATTTTTTGCCGATTTTTTGTAACAAAATTATTTCAGACAACTACTCTTTACAGTGACATGGCTTTTTACAATGCAGTACTTTTTTTGCTCAGAAATTTTCGTAAATCTCCGGAGGTTGTCCGAGCCTAACTCATACTCAAAATTCATTCGTTTGATGCGTATCTCACTCTACCTAGCAAACTGCCATATTGGAATTGGGTCGAAAAAACATTCACTCGATGAACAATTTACAAGTCTTGATCGAAAAAGAAGTATTTCAGCACTCCAATTCTTGCACAGATGGATGATACCAATGTAGGACACAGTAAGAGACAAAAAGTAAGCCGCTGATCACGTTAATTTGTGTTTTAAAGGTCACTATTATTCAGCTGTCCAGTGCGCAGTTGGAAAGCTATAATATCGATATCCACATAGCTTTTGCAGGAAGTAATGAAATTACCCTTTGCATTCGTTTGACTTCACTTCTTAAAAGAGAGCTTCGTCTTCACTCTTTCAAACTAAAATAAACCTGTGAACTGACCGCGCCAATCAGTGTTCGTCGGCCAAATTTGACCGACGTTCTATATATGGTCATTCATTCTGACGTCATCATTGAGCCCGGAATTGACCAATGACATGCGCATATTTAATTAGAACGCATTTGGCGTATGTTTCTTCAAGCTCGCTGATTAGTGGAAGAAAGGTCAGCGCGTAGGTCAGAAGTGATTTATTACCCAAACTGTCACCGGTACCCGTCATGGGGGCGGGGCTACTAAACTGTAACATGGTCTCTACTAGGCAGAGTGTAGTTTAACTAGACTCTGCACGCAGGGTATAATGAAATGGGCTAGAGAATATAGTCCAAGGCCCGGGCTCCAAGGGTGCACCTGTATCAAGTCCTTGGCCCTTTTGGTCCTTTTCGGTTTTGTGGCGCCCTCACTCTCTATATAGAAAAAGTATCTATACAGAGAGTGGGGCCGCCAAAAAATCCCAGTAGACTAAAGGGCCAAAAAGGATTTGATACATGTAGATCTACAAACTTCGTGCGTGGGTCATTTTTCTATTTTTTAATTATTTTCGAAAGTGATTTTGGGGATTATTAAAGAGTAAAGTAATTTGAATCTACACCGAAAAGCTACTTGGAATGTTTATCAATATCGGAGCAATAAGGTTTACCTGCTTTATTAGTACCAGACCTCATAAATCGAAGAAACACTGAGATTTTTTTCTAAAATTCGACTCAGCTCTTCAAAAAGGAGTACGATATTTCCGCCTAACGAGACACAACTTCTCCACTTTTCAAACTTTTTAAAAATTCGAACTAAATTATGTGCTGTTTTAAATCATACGAATCTCCCGATATTGATCCTATGGGTACTTTTTAAACAAGGTAATATATTTAATTTACTTTGTTTGTGTAAAATTTTTCGAAAGATCTAGACTCACTAGTCACAAAGAAAAATGCACTATTGGCTTTCATTGTCAAGAAACTAACGTTAGGTCAGGGTGCATGATGGAAAATTTTCTGCATTCCTCAATTGAGTCACGTGTTATTTTTCAAACAAGAATCACTCCTTCCCCACATTGTCTTTATCTTCCAGTTTTGCACAAAGAGTGCACTTATGTGCCTAGAAAAGACTTGTGAGAAGAATGTTTTGATAAAGTGTATAAAAAACAAGAAAATTCAGTGAAAAAAATCAAAAAAATTTCAGAATTTTTTTTCACTGAATTTTCTCGTTTTTTATACATTTTACAAAACAAATCTTCTCACAAGTCTTTTCTAGGCATATAGGTGCACACTTTGTGCAAACCTGGAAGATGTAGACAATGTGGGGAAGGAGTGATTCTTGTTTGAAAAATAACATGTGACTCAATTGAGGGATGCAGAAAATTTCCCATCATGCACCCTGACCTTAAGGTACAGCTGGAAAGTAACATTTTGGTAAAAAATTGCTATACCAGCACATGTTATTTTCTGGTACAAAATAAAGTATGAAAACATGTGTCAATTGCCTTGATTTTTTCAGGAAAGTATCATTACATTGTCTTCTTAAAGAATATCTAGTAGGAGTTCAATGGGAACTCCAGGAAATTCTGATATTTCACACTTTCTATTTTTCCAAATTTTCTTTCAAAATTTCCAGACAACACAAGAGCTACCATTGATCTGTTTCCAGGTTTACTAAAAGTAGACAGTGTCATGATACTTTCCTGAAAAAAGCAAGGAAATACACACATGCCTTCATACTTAATTTTGTACCAGAAAATAACATGTGCAGGCAGAGCTGTCAAGTGTCCCGCGAATGGCGGGATTATCCCGCCAATTTGATCAAAATTAGGCTAATTCGCGTGTCCTGCAATGTCCCGCGAAGTCCCGCAATTGTGGCTTTGACCTCCGCGAATTTCCGAAATTGTTGCAATCCCCTATATTGTGATTATCTTGTCTTATATAAGAAGCTAAGTTTTTGCACTTTGGAGGAGTAAAGTTTACCTAATTTTAAGTACCTAGCATGCATGCATGCTGTTGTTTGGTATCAAAATAAAGAGGAAGGGTTCAACTTTCATTTTATTTACGAAAATAGAGATGTAGGTCACAAATAGTTCCAACGTTGGCCTTTTTACTACCCGTGTGGCCTTCATCTCAGAACTGAGCAAATCTTAGCAAACGCAAGTTACAATAAATGGACGCTGATATCTAGTAAGGGTTTGTAGAAAAACCTGGTACCCGGTCAAAAAACGGGTATCCAAAAAACGAAAAATACGAATACATGTATATAACATAATTAGATTATGAGAAAACGTGTAAGATTTGTTTTGAATTTACAAAAATGTATGTAACATCCTTCAAAATTGAGCTAGAAGCTTCAAATAAAAAGCATATTTTAAGGCTATTTTCTTTCTCTATCGTCATGGCCATATTTTCATTGGTTATGGGGGGGGGGTTGCGATCGCACCCATCGCACCCTCTCCTGGCTACGCCTATGACATTGTAAGACATAACAATTTACAATTCAGTGGACATTTTGTCGAAAATTAGGATAACTTAAATTATGATTAATAATCAAAATCTTACACGTTGCATCATGTAAATTAACACACGTCACCTCTCTGCTAAAGCAACGATAGCTATTTACAGATTTAAATCATAATCAAAACAATTTACGTACCAACATACGAACTATTGAAAATAGAGTAAGATTGATTTGTCTTGTTTTTCAAATCGTCTTACAATGTCATTGGCGTAGCCAGGAGGGGCACCCCCCCCCCTTCATTACCAATGGAAATATGACCATAGAGGAAGAAAAGAGGAGCCTTAAAATGCTTTTTATTTGAAGCTTCTAGCTCAATTTTGAAGGAAGTTACATACATTTTTGTAAATTCAAAACAAATCTTACACGTTTTCTAATGATCTAATTATGTTGTATATTCGTATATTTCGTTTTTTGGGTATCCTGTTTTTTCGACCGGGTACCAACTTTGAACCCAGAATGGAGGATTTACTACCCGGTACCCGGTTTTTCTACAAACCCTATCTAGAAAAGTAACCTCATTCCCTATAATTTGAAATAGATTAATCGAACCCCTATATCATGGGCCCATGCCTACAGTATATGAATAGGTACATTTTAATATATAACATTATGGGGGTAAGCGTTTCATAGTTGGTCACGACTCCAGAAGTGCAAAGTATTGTTCCGAATTTTTGAATTTCGTGTTAGATTACGGTACTCACACCTGAAGCATGGTTTTTGTTTTTGATAAATTACAATAAAGTTGAATAATATTCCTATGCGTATTATGTAAAATTGTGTCGACCTTGATTTAAGTTACAATGTAACGGTGCATTATATTTGATTAATCAGTATCTGAAGGTTTGATTTAAGTACTTTTACACGCTTTTACATTAGTCCCAATCACGCAAATCCCTTGAATGTCCCGAGACATCCTGCAAATTTAGGTGGATGTCCCGCGAAATCCCGCAAATTAAGGGCACTTTGTCTAAAAAAATCTGTCCCTCTATGAAGTTTTTGGTGGTAAACCTGTTAATTGTCCCGCAATTAGGGTGTTTGTCCCTCGAATGGTCCCGCGAAATCCCGCGAATTTGATAAAAAATTTGGTCTATTAGCGCAATCACGCAAATCCCTTAAATGTCCCGCGAAATCCCGCGAATTTAGTAGATGTCCCGCAAAATCCCGCGAATTTTGGGCACTGGGTCTAAAAAATCTGTCCCGCGAGAAAATCTTTGGGGGTTGACAGTACTGTGTGCAGGTATGGCAATTTTTTACCAAAATGTTACTTTCCAGCTGAACCTTAACGTTCTTCGCCAGCTAAAATGTCACTCGACTTTTTGGCAATTAAAAGTCCCTGCCTGCATTTAGTAGTCATATATTGTCATGTGCATAATTTTGAAACCATATCCTAATTATTTCACAAACCCTTTGTTGATTCTGCCATAGCTTCCAATTTGTAAACAGCATTTAGCCTTTTTAATTGGGAACCTTTTTGAAATTTCCAAAATGGCTGCCATGTGATTCCAGAATTAACATGAGTGTGACGTGACATCACAGTTGCTCGTTCCTAGGTAACAACAAGATCACAATTGCTTGTTTCTAGATAGCAACAAGATTTTTGATAAAATGGCACAGAATTACCCTGATTAACACCCTTAAAATCCAATTTTCAAAGAATATATTTGGAGAAACAATAAAAGGTAAGTGGAATAAATTAGAAGATGGTTTCAAGTTACCACAGAAGTCAATTTGAAACCCAAGAATGCTTTCTTTGACTCATAATCACAAAACACAAAAAAGTCGAGTGACATTTTAGATGGAGAAATTCTCTTACATTCAAATTTTTTATTCTGTGAACCAGTTCATATTGTTAAAATAACGAAAGAATGTGATGTAACCACGTGTCTACTTACCAGTTTGTTTGATCTGAATCTTAGATCTGACCTAGACTATATCCTATTTAAAGTAGATTTCATGGCCTGACTTCGTCGGTAGATCTTGAAAAATAAGATTTATCTGAAGATTAGGAGTCTTACTTACCCTCTAGAGGTTAGAACACACATTTTAATGAAACCATATCAGCTATGTTTTGTTCATGATGAAGCATACCCCACCAATTAATTAGTAAGACACAACAACACAAAAAGATCTGGATCATATAGGAAACATCCTTCTTCCAGAACTATTGGTATAAAGGTATAAAGGTATAAGCACAGTACTTGATTGAAATTTGTGTTAATGCTTTTTGGACTTTTCCATTTTCCTCGTGTTTACTTCCGGGACTGCTTTGCCTCTATCACAAAATACTGTGTTGACCTTGACCTTTAATTTTGTGACATATCATCCAACCATGTCTGATGTAAAAATAATTAAAATATTTGAAGATAATGTTTTGTGGTCTCTTCTGCAGACGAGTTTAGGACAGGGCGGGTAGGATGGCCTGTTCTAAGATAGAAAAAGTGCATGATCTGACCTGAAAGGCAATTTTGTTTTGATTTGAATAGAACAAGTCTGAAGAAAAACGGTACATTATAAGACTCGCAATCCTTGATTTTCAATTATCTGGTAGGTCAAAAATTCAAATTAACGGTCGAAGTTAGTACCACATGTTCATGTACAGAACTGATTCTTACTTCTTGATGTTCCACTCCCATTTTCTTTTGAATGTCATTGAACGTACTGGAACCCTACAAATCACACTTTATATGAGAGAGATGATTCATTTAATGGAATGATTTACTCTGATATTTTAGGTTCATCATGAATGGGTGTGTGGTATCAGATACTCCAATAGCAGTTGATATGTGGAAGGTTCGCCTCCATCCCTGTGTGAAGCTGTTTTTCTTGTCACACATGCACGGAGACCACACAGTTGGACTAACTGCCTCCTGGAAAGACAACATATACTGCTCACCAGTAAGTTATAGCTGTACAAAGTAGCAGATAATATATATGCGATCATCTGTGTTCTTAAGATATTTTTTGATATAGACATGTTTGTGATTGTAGTGTTTGTGGTTGTAGTGTGTTTGTGATTGTAGTATTTGTGATTGTTGTGTTCTTTATGATTATAGGTGAGTGGAAAGTTGCTTAGACAGAGAATTAAGGTGAAAGAGTGTTTCATCAAGCCACTTGAGTTGAACACAAGTCACTTGCTTCCTCTAGATGAGACTGGTAAAGAGACCATGACTGTAACTCTCATAGATGCTAACCACTGCCCAGGTTAGTACTTCAAGAAGCACATTACGAGTTGATAAACATTGTCTTAATGCTGAGAAAACAACTTTTTTTAAAGTCATTGTATAAATAGGTAATGTAAAATTGGAGTGTAAGACAGTTATTGATAATAAGGATAAGGAGAGTACAGGTGTATGCTAATGTAAAACTAAAACAAATTCAAGAGTGATGACTAGAAGTAGTGGAGAGACCTTCATTTCCTTCTGGACTAATTACAGTGTTTATTGTTGTTCCAGGTGCTGTAATGTTCTTTTTCCAAGGTTACTTCGGAAGCATCCTATACACTGGAGACATGAGATACCACTCTGATATGTTCCTAGATCCCAGCCCACTTTGTAATCTCACCACTCCTATAGATGTCCTATACCTTGACAATACGTATAATGACCCCCAGTGTGTCTTCTCCACTAGGGACGAAGCAACCAATGAGATACTTGAAATAATCCGTGCCCACCCTGAGCATGACATTCTCCTAGGGATGAAGAATCTTGGGAAGGAAGACCTGTTTGTGCAGGTTGCCATGGAGCTTAATGAATGGATAGTTGTCACAGAAGATACATATAATGACTTCATAGTACTGGAGCTACCAAATGTCTTTACAACCGATCATAAACTAGGGAGGCTTCAGATTGTTAAATCATTTAAGATCACCTCTAATACTATAGCAACCCTGAACAGACAACAGCCCACTATAGGAATCATCCCTACTGCTCTGTTCACAGGTACAGGCCTCAACCCTTACAGCAACTGTGATGATATATTCATTGTAAACTATTCTGACCACTCCTCCTATACAGAACTTCATGATTTTGTGTCTCAGGTGAAACCTAGGAGTATCATCCCTGTGGTTAAATGCACCAGGGGTGTGTTCAACTCAGATTGGACATCCAGAGGAAATATGTCTTGCTTCACTACATACTTAGACCCAACACCAAAGGTAGTATATGAGGTCCCGCCTAGCGTGAAACAATATATGAATGCAGGTAATGTCAATCCCTATGATTCATCCTCAGCTGCAAAGTCCAAAAAGAATGTGGCTATGATAAAAAGATATAAGTTACAAAGGACCCAGTCATACCCCAAAACCAACAGACCCAAGGGTATTGTATTCCCAGATTCCCCTGAGGACCCTAAACCTAGGCAACCTGCAAGGATGAAGATGCATATTATATTTGATAGTGATGATGATGGTGAACAGACACGAGCTGTCTCAATTAAAAACAGTCCTCCACAGCTCAATGAAACAGCTATTGACAGCAAACAACTCATTCAAGATACCCACACTAAACATGTCCCATCAAATGATACAGGTTGTGTTGATAATGTACTCGGCATTGCGCTTGAAACAACACATAAAAAAGATGGTAAAAATAACCCAACCAGAGACAGCATAGTTTGTCCACAGAGTAATCACCAACCATCAAACTCGAACAATGAGTCCCCCAAGTATGACCCAGTGTGTATAAGGAAGCATCTGAATTCATATAACCCTAAGCGGAGAAAGCTGCCATTAACACTTACTCAACCACAATCTAAGCGATATCGACAAGATAATTTTCCTCAACGTGACTGTCTTAACACATGGTTTCAGAGTGTCAAACCAGAGCCGATTGGATCAAACAAAAAGCTCAGTTTAATCAAAAATGGAAAAATAAACAGTCAAATGAAACAAATCGAGAAATGTGATTCAACAGAAGGGACTTATGATATTGACTTGAACACAAACAAATCAGTCATATTGCCATTTAAAGATGGCACTCAAAGTGGAAGTTCCAAACTATATGGAACGATGAAATCAATTAACTTTCAACATGAAGATGGCAGCACGAGTGTTAAACAGAAAGTTTTTAATGTAAAGACAGTGAAATCTTTAAAATGCAAACCGATTAATGACAATATCAAAAACACAAAGATCATTTGTAAAACTTCGAAATCAACAATAGCTTTGAATTGCAAACCTTTGAAACGGAAAACAAAAGTATGAATTTGTCATTATTTATAAACTGGGTATTCTGATAAATGGTAGAACAATCAAGTTGGTCATGAATTCGACATTTTTTCATGTTCTATCACTTCCTTATTTGGTCAGACATCTCTCCATACCGATTGCAAACACCTTGTATTGTAAGTCCGTGATCATTTGCCATCTCTTAAAAACGTAAATAAACCCAACATGTGCTGCCATCTTTATAACAGTCTTTCTATCGAAATTATTAAATGAAATGAAAAAATCAAAAAACAATACAACAAAAATATATATACAGTACATTATAAAAAATACTGAATTTTTCTCTATACTTATGAATATTTTACAAGTGATGTTACTATATTTCTTTGTTATTCATTTATTAAAGAGGTTTATTGACCAAACCTGTATATAACGATTTTCTATTAATGTTTTAACTCCGTGTAAAGATATTTGTGCCATTTGAAAAAATGTATAAATTATGTATTCAAGCTGAACTGAATAATTCGTTTTTTATAATCAATCAATGTTTGGTTTCTTTGCCTTACTTGAATTTTTAAATATGTTTTTACAGTGTCAACTGCATTGTGTGTTGTTTTATATAGGATAATAATAGGACACGATTTATGTCCATGTAGATGGATAATGAAAACACTCAATGGGAACTCTATTTGGTTTAACATACCACAGTACAAAACGTTCCCCTCCCAAACTGGACCGAATGCCACGATGAGCTTCACAATTTCCTAGTTTCAAACTGTGCTGCGCTTTGTAGTGTTAAACAGTCATTCTAGCGTTCACAAACGACATACATTAGTTCTACCATCACAATCAAGACATTTAATTAAAAACCAGCTTGTTTCTTGCATACAATGGATTTATTCTGGAGTAAAACTAAAGCTTTTTCTCCTCAACTAATATTATTAGTGGCAGTTTTGCCTAAGTAAATTGGCATGCCGATTGAAAGAATAATCAGTTGTGTTTCATTTGTGATGCTATCGACTCGGGGTTATTGTTTCGTCCAGTTTCATTTCAATCTCTGGCCACTTGAGTTGAACCTCCTGCGTCTTTAGTTAGAATAGTCTTTTAGCGTGAAAACAACTAAGTGCAACGCGGGGCTGCCTGACACAAAGCCTCTCACCCTGCATTCACTCCTCTCCAGAAAACGCAACTGGCTTGCCATTGAGTAGGTCAATATCTCAATACACAGCCTGACTGACTGACTGCCTGCCTGCCAGTAATGTGCTCCTAATCAACTCTCGACCACTTTTACTCAATGAATTTTAATGGATTACATTTCAGTTTTCTTTTTCTCTGTAAAGAAATACGAAGCCATACAAATAAATCAATTACTTTGCTCTGTTCATTATTTCCATATTTTCATTTAAGGTGTAACATACTTGATGTCATTTTTTCTTCTGATTTGATTTTATCGATCTGAGCTGTGACATAAGTCTTTGACCTTGAAATTGATCTGATGTAACGAACATATGTGTTTCACTTTCTAAAAGGTAAACTGTGATTCTTTACTGTTTTACCAACCAATAGTGCAGTCCAGATGGGAGACTTATATTTGATTGTTGATGATTGATTGTTTCAGCTCTCTTTGGTCACCGGATATAATGATCTCGTGATTTCGCAATCATGTTTTCGCTTTACGTTTGATTCTCTCAGAAATCGTTTGACTATTGATCAGTTCCCGTGATTCATAAAATTTGTGCCATTATCCGTCTGTTGGACAGAATTAGTCATATTTTCCTGTACTTTAAAAAGGACTGTGTGATCTGTATGAGGGTGGGTAGTCTTGCTCCAAGCCTTCGTTAACCCCCACCTGCCCACTAACATAAAAACTTAAGGGAAATACAAGACAGGGGTTTGATGTACTATATATCTGGAGAAAGTACAACTACAGAGAAAATATCTTTAATAAAATACAATTATCCACATTTATTAAAATAGATTAAAATCACACATTTTTGCATTCACAAATGCAACTTTCGGCTGTCGGCTAACGGATTAACCTACTATTTTATGGGCAACACATTTAAATATGAATAGAAACTGCCACTATTCCATTCATATGAAGTTGCGCATTCGCGAATACAATCTTAAATCCTCAGGATACCATTTATCATGGTACTATTCTGCCTTCAAATGACGAACATTGGATATATTTAACAATAAAAAATTCTTGATAATTTCGGCAAATTTTCTATGTGCAGGATTCATACCAGACCTTTCTTGTTACAACGTACGAAGTTGTTTTCTTCGTAATAACGCCCATGCATATACATAGACCTCTATCCCACCAAAGTCACTTTAAAACAAGAAAAAAATCCGTATTCAATAAATTGGTAAGCAAGAATGAGAAGTAATTATTTGACTGGATACACTCTCCAACCAAGAGATTCACCTTTGAATTCTGGTGACTTCCTCTTTTCTCAATCCAAGGATTTACTTTGTAAATAATTCCTCCAAATAAACGCGTTGTTTTGAATCGAGAGTGCTTCGAAACAACGGTCATTTGAAATAAATGTACGGGCGTCATTTCACGAAAATCCAGTACATTTTATGTGATTCTTGAAATCTTTAGTGTGATCTATGCAAGTTTTGGCCATGAATCTAATTATTGAAATAAATGAAAACAAATTACGCAGTGACGTTGACACGGTATTCTTTACTTTATCTTTAATGACAATTTATAATCTACACGTGACATAGGGTATATTTAAAGTGCGTTTGGAAATTGTGAGGTCATAGTAACTCCGCGCAACACCATGTAGGGTTCACGCGTGGTTAAATATTGATAGGACTCTTAATTTTTAGCGTTTGTTACACTTACTGTTTTATTCTATTTAGTAATTGAAATTCAGTTAGTCGGTCGTAATTTAAACGTGTCATTTTTCAATTTTGAAAGTTACTGTTTGAAGTTTTGACTTGATTTAATTACTCTTAACTCGTGCAGTCCCTATGCAAATAGTGCACGTTGTCAAACAATGGCCTTGCCGTGCGTCGCCGGTTCCAACCCAAACCACACGGAGTGAGTTAAAAAACTGCGGAAGAAAATGAATTTTTACTCGCCACCTTGGAGCGAATTTCATTATTCCAATATTTTAGTCTAAATTAAGACATATTGCTGCTAATGAATAAATGCACCAGGTTAGATTCGTTATATAGACACATCTCTCATCAGTAATGATTGAACTTCATTACGATTTAGAAATTTGACAAATCACTTAATTCATCAGCGCAATTCTTACTTGATCTTGTACTTAAAGAAGGCTGACGCGTCGACGGGGAGACGGATGTGATATTATTAGTCTTAAAATGTTCCAAAATACCTCAGAGGTTGGGAAATCGTTTGAAAGCTTTTATCATGTTCAATTAACGAAAAACATTGTGTAATTTGAGTAATTCATAACTCATAACGTTTTAATATATTTACCGAAAACTTATCAAAGGCCAGGACAAATAGTGGCCCAGGGCGCAAGGGTTAATTTTCCGTTCAAGGATTTGACCAGGGAAGTGTCGAATAGATACATAGGGTCAAACACCTTGGTTCCTTAACACATTTGAAATGCAGGTGCCGAGTGCTTCTGTATCAGTGAATCGATGCTATATACACTATGTACAATCAGTTTTATATTGTTGTCATAATGCTTCATTAGAAGAAATGAAGAATTATACAATTTCTCAGCTTGCCTCATCAACATTTGTAAATAGTAAGTTATGGGTTTAACTACTTTGAAAATATTAAATATGGACGGCACTTTTTATTATGCCCTTGTATAGACCGCTCAATATATTCGTTCGCTTGTTAAAACTGAATATGCCAGTTTTCTCTCTGACCCCTACCCGCAATTACCACAAATAACAAGCAAATTATGCAAATATTGGTATTACCACCAGATTAATTTTATTCACTCCCCGGCCTACTCGTAAAATAAAACGACACATCCCTTTACGTTTTATCTTTATTAACGTTATGGATAACAAGTTTCTTGGGAGACGCTAAAAGCACTGTCTTGATAAATTAGATAATGGGTATGCTTTTAGTTTAGATTAATAGACAGTTTAAAACAAGCAATAATGTTCTTAAGGCGAACCGTTAACATCGTTACGAGCTTTCTTAGGCACTTTAGGGCTGCTCAAAGCAACTCTGACCTTATATTATATGCAATCAAGCATGTTTGCTGCTCAAAGCGCCTTGTGCAGTAAGCAACTTTTAGGCAAGGTGACCTGTTTTTCTGTTTTATAAATCACTTAACTTTATCATTTATAATATTTAAAAGATCGGAGTACACAATAACAATACTGAAAGATTTCTGCTATAAATGGATTGCTATTAATAACATTTACAAACTTATGACAATCGTATTTTCAGTTGCACGAACGTTGCAAACATTTACTGAGTGCTGATGATTTTTTGGGTCGTTTCAATTATTGAATTATCTGATTACGTTAAATGCTTTTTCACCGCGGAACACACCTAAGTTACCACAATGCCGCAGAATGAACTAGCAATCATATAAACTGATCTACCGTTAATTAAGAATTTGATTGAATAAAAGTATATAAACTTGGAGCTAAATACTTTATTGTGTCATTCGGAGGTCACATAAACCTTTTTTGTAACTTAATAGATGTATATCAAACAATTAGATAAGCTGTCAGCTTTTTTTGATTAATGGCGTATGCCGAAAATCTGTGCGCACGCATAATTGTTACTGCAAATTTGTGGGTAAATATGAAACGTCGAATTGTAGGTCGTTCGCTTGCTGTTTTTGCTAACGTTACAGGTCAATGAACGGTTTATGCGTTTTAAGTCATTGGATTACGGAATATGTGCAGGTCGACGCATTTCGTGAAACCATAAAGATGTAGAGTTTGGTATTCTATACGAATAGATTTTATTGATTGTACATAGATTGTATTAAGTCATTGAATGTTTCACTCTCCATCACCGACTAATTCGATCATAATGTTGGTGTTAAAGGTAATTACTTTTTCTTTAAGAGGCATTTACTTTTTAACAATACGGTCAATATATATGCACTCGTTGCCAACTATTTGTGAAAAGTGTCAAACCAATATATCTCCCTAGTCCCCATACACATGGAGTAGATGTAATAATTAGTGCTGGCAACCCAATGGAGTCCAGGTGAGAACGATTACCGGTTATAACGATCCGACCGATAACATCAATGAGCATCGCGGCTTCCAACAGGAGACAATAAAGTATTAAATTAACACATCTATTGTGGCAGCAACCAAATAATCTTCACGAGAAGTCAATTTA